TAGCAAAATAAAATACCAGAAAACTTTTCATATGCCTTAATTATATAATTTTAAAACATGAATGATTCGTAAATTTTACTTAGCGATAAGATAATTTTTGTCTTTATTACAATTAAAAGTAGTAAATTAAAAAAATATCTCTTTAGTTTTTAGAAAACCAAATCATTTGGAAATCTTTTCATATGCCTTAATTTTTAATTTTAAACGTGTGAATGAATTGCAAATTTGATTTAACGATAAAAAGAGTCACTTTTTTACTAATGATTTTATTAATAAACCAAAACTGAGTTTTATTGATTGGCAATCTTTTCATTACACATATGGTAAATAAAAGATAGATAATATTTATTTTAATGAAGCTACTGTGTATGATTAAACTTCAACATTCAATATGCCACTGAAACGCATCGTTTATTTTAGTAGATATACAGTGATGCATGAAGAAAGAGGTAGGTTTGAGATGCAGAGACAGAAGAAGATAGACACAACAGGCGGGGATATAATTGGCCCCAGAAAAGATAAGCCAGTAAATGTCATATGCAAATGAAAGGGATACCAGAGCCAGAAAGAGGTGAACTCTAGAACAGATGCTAACATGGTGAAGCATGGGTCTAGTGCAGCTCGAGTGTACTTTGAAACATGCAGAAGAATTTTATGCAGAGAGGGAGGTGGGAGTTAGGAACTGTGATCAGCATCATTTATGCCGCACCATCATGAATTTGCTTCTGTGAAGGAAAAACATTTGGAGCTACTACAAAGAAAGAGTATTTGTAAGAAAAGTATGGGAGTATGCATACTTCTGCTACAGTAAACAAAAGCAGATTAAAGGAGTAATCTTAAAGTCATTATTGGAGGAATTGCAGTTGTTTGGCAAAACTATCGAGCAAAAAATGGAAACGCAGATCTACAGGATATTGTTATTTGAATGGCAAGCTAAAACACTTGCAAAATCTTTTAAAGCTCATAAAAAAAATTAAAATTCACCACTCTAAAATAATTTTTTTAAACACACGTGTATATATATATATATATATATATATATATATATATATATATATATATATATATATATATATAAATATACACAAATGTGAGAGAGAACAGGGCGAGTAAAAATCCACAGTTAGTAGCATTTACTTTTTAAAAGTGCTCAATACAAAGTAGGGCAAAATATTATTAAATAATATATACCGTTTATTTTAAATTACATTTTTTTTTAAATTAAAAATTCCAGTATAATACATAACTGCGACAACATTGTGGTAACCAGGTATTTTTATTAAAATTTAAATTTCGTTACTGTCAGTCTATACTAAGCACCTGAAGATTGCATTGTGTAAGGTTTAGGGTCGTGCAGGATAGTATTCATATATATATATATATATATATATATATATATATATATATATATATAAAGACTCTTTTATGTTTATACGTTCTTTTATAGATTTAAGAACGTGTAAACATAAAAATGTCTTAAAATAATTGTCGGACTTTGTCCATTTCATATTATATATATATATATATATATATATATATATATATATATATATATATATATATATATATATTGTAGTAAATTAAGATTATTATGGTATAATATATAACGTTTATATTTTTCGAAATTCTGACCTCAATGCATTAATATAAATCTAGTTATGCAAGAAAAATTATAAATACTTAATTATGAGTCGGAAATTGCAGTTATTGTAATTACAGTGTAATTAATTATTATAAAGTTTTACGAAATTCTGATTTTAATATTTTTATCGTAAATATAAATGTCGATATATATGCAGTAACAAGTAGAATTTCAGAATTGGAGCAACCGAAAGGAATTACAATGCAGAATGCATCAAGCAATAACAAGAAAGAATGAAGGATAAACCTGTGCAAGAATGGGAAAATATAACCAGAAATAATGTTATGCAAGTTCTCACAAAATTCCAAAAATGGAAAATCCGCAGGAAATGACAACGTTTAGTTCTATCATTTGTTACCAACCCATAAAACCCTTGCACAAACTTTATCAACGCTGATTAATAACGCCAATGAAAATCCAGAATGGATACCTGAAGGTATTATGTATCTCCTACCAAAAACGAGTTAAACAGATGATCTAAAAAATTATATGCCAATAACATGTCTCTCCACCACATATAAATTGATTATGTCTGTCCTGGCGGACTGTACTTACTCTTTTCTCGATAAAAACAACATTCTTACGCTGAAACAAAATGGATATCGACGATGACCATATGGCTACTAAGATCAACTACTAATAAATAAAATTATCTTGGAAAATTTCAGGAAAAAAGGTAGAAATCTTAGCACAACTTGGATAGATTACCGTAAAGCCTTTGATAGCGTGCCACACACTTAGATCTTAAGGATCCAAGAGTATAGCACACTTTGAAAATGTACGAAGTCTTTTCGGAGATAGTAAATTTCCTTAAATACAACAGGAAACTATGGAGAAATACATTATACTTAAATCCCATCAAAAGCAATGCCTCTTCTAACCTCCTGAATATCCGACGAGGAATCTTCCAAGAAGACTCCCTTTCGCCCATTCTGTTCCGTCTGTGCTTAATCCCATTTTCGAATGAACTAAACTGTAGTAACTATAGATACAAAGTCAAAAAGAATATTTTTAATTACCTATTCTATATGGATGATAGAAAACTCTTTGCCAAAGACAACAATGAATTGAAGAGTATCCTAAATGCTGTAAAATGTCTAAATATCAATTATGACATCGATATGGATTTAGGATTAGGTAAATGTGCAAAAGTAACGTTCAAGAAAGGGAGAGTTGCAGAAATGCACTCAATAGATCTAAATTTTCTCACAAAGATTATGGAACTCGAACAACAAAAAGCTTATAAATCCCTAGGAATCAACGAAGGAGGTGGAATACAGCATACCCAAATGAAGAAAGTAACAAAAGAATACTACAGGTATGTGCGTCTGGCGTTAAATACGGTGATTAATTCACAAAACAGAAAATCAGCCATAAACACTTTGGCTGTCCCTGTGGTGCAGTACAGTTTCAACATCCTTAATTGGACCATAGATGACATTGAACGAATGGATGTCAAAACGAGAAAGCATATCACTTGCCACTGCTTACATCATCCTTAGGCTGATGTTGATCTTCTGTATGTGTCCAGATCCAAAGAATGCAGAGGATTAGTTCAACTAGAACTGTCTTACGAAACCAAAAACATCGGTCTTCAAAAATACCTGGAAACTACAGAAGACCGGAGATGATCTGAGTCAAAGAACATGAAATAAATAAGAAACTTTATTCAGTAATAAAAGAAGTCAACAAATTCAAAAGAGAATCTCAGTTGGCTGAAGAAGTACAAATAAACTATAATATACCTACTGCAGCGGCAAAGAACCTAAAAAGAAAACAGATGCAATGTACCAAATTCAAAAACGATGGCAACATAAGCATCTACATGGTCAGCACTCTGCCTGTTCCAAACAAGCTGATGTAGACAAACCCCGTATCTATCAGCAGATACGTAGTGCAGGGTTAAAAGCTGAAACCGAGGGTTTTATTCTTACAGTAAAGGACCAATGCTTGCCAACTACAAATTACCAAGCACACATACTGAAAAACTGTATTAACCCGGAATGCAGATTTTGTGATAAATATCCAGAAACAATTGATCATGTTGTATCAAGTTAGACAGTGTTTGCACCAACTGAATATAAAATTCGGCATGATAGAGTGGCCCAATATCTGCACTGGAAAATATGCAACTTCTACAGGAAGAAAACTGCAAGAAACTGATATGGACATCCTCCAGACTCGGCTACAGACATAGGAACTGTAACAATTTTATGGGACTTTACAATACACACAGAACAATCAAAGCTAATTGCCCAGACATCTTGATCAGAGATAACAAGAACAGAATATGCTTTCTTATTGAGATGGCAGTCCATGCAGATTGTAAGTTATCTTTGAAGATCAAAAACTATCAAAATACAAGGGTCTTGATGTGGAAATCTCAAAAATGTGGTACATGAGGACATCAATAATTCCAATTGTAGTTGGAGCCCTAAGATTGATTGGAAAAAGGTTCTGAAAGACTCGGTGAAGCGATTCCTGATAGCCCATACCTTAAAAAATACAAAAACTGTACTCACAAGTACAGTTCACACGTTAGGAAGAGCTCTGTCTATCTAAAAACGGTGATCTTATGTTTTTTTTACAGAAAGTGATCAGTGGAAAATGCCATGAAGCCATTTCTAACCTTAGGTCTCTGACTAGGACCTGAAAGGAAATGTGTATATAACAGAAATTCAAGGAAGGAAGAAGAAAAATATAATAATACTAATAATGAAGTGTACAAATAGTTTTTAAATTTCTGAATTTTGACTAACCGATAGATTATGATAAAGAGAGAGAGATTGAGAGAGAGAGATTCTGTCTATATTTCTGAGATGAGGTATTGTAATTATTTACACTATTTACATTGTTCAGACTGTTGTCCCCCTCTTCGTTGCCATATTCACGATTTTTCGGCCGCTGAAAGCTCCGGCCTTCTTTAGGTGATTTGAATTTCGAACCAAATTCTTTATTCCAGCCACGGGGGTAGATTGTTCTAGTTCCACGTTCCATGCCTTTTCTGGATATCTCAGTTTCAGTTATCTCCCTTTAGTAACTCAACTCAACAAGTTTTTGTTCACCTTTGCTCTGGCGATCTATTGAACTCACAACTCTTTGAGTCAAGTCACTGAATTACATCAACCAATGCCTTTAGCTACTGGGACATGTGTATGCAACAAAAATGAGGACAATGTAAATAGTGATAAGGAGTTTGTTTTTCAGTTTGCTGATTTCATATCTAATGCTGAATGACAACACCAGAGACTATTCTGTTTTTATGCTGCAGCTACATGCAAACAAATCATAAATAGTTTAGAATTTAAAAGTATTTCATTTACATTTCATTGAAGAGAATTAGTAAGTTGCTACTTACATGACATGTTCCCAAAATGCAAACATCATTTCCAGTGTCATCGCAAAGTGTCCCATCAGGCACTGTATCCCCTGTGGGCACATAAAAGTTCCCACTTCTGGTATGACACATTGCTTTGCACGGGCGACGAGCTGCAATAAATGAAAAAGGAAAAGGATATTTATTATTGTATTTTTACAAATTTTCCTCGTAAACAAATTGTGCTTATGGGAATCGAAAACTACTCATTATGTTAAATATACGATTCCTACCAAAATATTAACACTGGTTAACTACCTAGGATACGAAGAAAGATATTGCAAACGATCTTTATCAAATTTGTATGTTTGGCGTATAAAATTACTTTTATTATGTTTGGTATATTACTTGTAGACCCTGTTTCTCTGCTTATCATATGACAAAGGTGTTTATGTTTAAGACATTTAATATTTTTAGAACTTATATTTTCACTCGTAAAGAAATGGTATTTCAACAAGATATTTGAGTGTGAATTCTAAATTATTAGTGTACATGAAAACAATTCATATGAACTGCTACGTACTGTCCCAACTGAATGCGACTTTAGTTTTCAATACCAAAATGAAAGACAAATCTCTGGTAGAAGCATTTACCCAAATTAAACAACGCAACACGTTTCAGAAAAATGTTAAATATTACGCAGTCAAGACTATCTGTCCATCTATCATAAATGAGCTTAAATCTCGTTGACCAATTTTGACACATTTTAGACTTCAGTTCGAATGTTTTTTGCCTGCCGCGAATTATACATTATCAAGTTTCGTTTCATTTAATTCAGTAAATATTTTGTGTAATCACAATCACAATAGGGGCGTCCATTTTCGAACTTTCTTAATCTCCCTCTCTGTCTCTCTTTTTCTGTCCCCACTCTATCTCTCTCTCTCTCTCTCTTTTTGTATGTCTGTCTCTCTTCATCTCTCCTTCACCCGGAAATACTCTCAATCTAACATATGAAAATGGAATGGGAATATAAATAGAACTAAAAAATTTAGAACAAGCTCAAGTTTCAATCTGTTCATCAGCATTTCAAATTTGCCGTTCACAATACACACAGATACACACATACGCACACATAGAAACAGACGCGCAGACAAACACACACATACAAACAGACTCACGCACAAAAACACACATATATATATATATATATATATATATATATATGAATTCAAAAATGTTAGGTCGACCAACGGACACCCTGTCAAAAGACCTAAAACCTTACACAAGAAAAAAAATCCCAAATGGTAAACATCTACTTAAGTAGCAAATTACCTAGATAGAGCAAAAAAACAACGCTTTACAGCGCCAACCCTCAAGCAGCTCGAATCGCTACTTAAGTTTCACGCTCTCGCGATCTTGGGGTAACAAAATGAGATGGTGGTAATCAAAGTGCTCGAGGTAAAATAACAGAACCAAAATTTATACGAAGGATAAATATACATTTTTCCTTACCGTTCGTCGAAACACCGAGTTTTATACGCGTAACAATCGTTAGGCAAAAATTGAAAAATATTTTTTATATATGTATGTGAATGTATGTATTTATTTTCTAATTTAATACATTTTTAAATCAATTCCTTTTTTTTTTGTAATTCATTTTTTACTATTTTGAATATATAAATATATGTGTGTGTGTGTATGTGTGTGTTCACGCGAGCACGAGCGCTCGTATGTGTGTGAGTGCGCGTATGTGTATGATTTATGACGGATAAATAGACAGAGATAAGTTTAAGTAAGAAAAAGAAGGTAAAATCTGAATCACGCTGAAATACAATTGCAATGTGAATCAAATAACTATACCGCAAAAGCTATAGTGATAGTATCGGTTGACTAATTAACCGGCCATCACCACTGACATCTGTTGAAATCTCCTATTATCTGATCATAGCCTTCCATTCATCAAAATCTGATATTTATTTATTTTTTTTAATTAATATGGATTCATTTTTATTATCTATTCTATTTATTCATACTTAAGGCTTTACTTGTATTCTTAGAATTTGATTTTTGTAGTTGAATCATCAATGTGACGCTGGAATAGACACATTTCTTTTTAGCACTGCATTCCTGAGAATTAAATGAGATATTTATTTGTCCACTATTAACTTCCAATAAACGACACTTTTATTAAGAATTAATGTTATTAAACTTTAGTATAATTAAAAACGTAAATTTATAATTCGTATCTATCAATAATTTTATATGCACAATATAGATAACTCAGAGAAATCAGAACATTTGACGTGTAGTGGTGGAGGTGGCCTTCAAAAGTTTTCTTGAAGTTTTAAGTCATTCTTTTAAAAATACCATATATAGTTCGACAATCACTTAATCATTAAACAGTTATCCAGATTGAGATTTCTATCTAATCATGCTATGTTAGATTCAAAGTCGCACTGGACTTAAAGGAAACGACACCTTCTAAATCTGCACAAGAAATATCTATTAAAACAGATTAAAAGTTCACATACTGATCTAAAATAAAAATAAACAAGTTCATCCAGGACAAAAGGCATCTACTCTAGAACAACACACATAATAAGCTACTTTCAACAAAACCTACATTTTGTGAGTCAAACTAAGTTTATTTTTGTAATACCCGTTTGTAGGAGAGATTTTGTAAATCACTGATACAACAATAGTAACGCCTTCAAACAATACGATATTTATTTGTATTAATACAAAATGTGGCACAAGGCTTAAAGGGGGAATGGGTAACAGGGACGGTCTTCATCTGTTTTAACTTTAAACTTAGCTAGCCAGAAACACTGACCCAAACAGACAACAGTATTCCTTACACCAAAACAGCACATTCTTACTCATCTTTCTTACTACATCCACCATAATACCTCTTTGTCTCTATGAAAGTCCTAACTAGATCCCATATGTACAATTTATTGTTTGTGGGGGAAGAGGAATAAAACAACAAATTTAAAATTTTGCCTCAATGATTATTAAAAAAGTTGTGCAAAACTATTTACAAGAAACTAAACAAAATAAAGTTAGTAAAAAAACCCACTGTCCCTAAATGTGGCAGAAATATCAGTTAACTGGACGAAATCAATGCGGGACTTTAATAATATAAAACATTCATTCATCCAATCACTCACTCAAACATGCATCCATTCAGACACAAAAACAAATACGAAAAACACACCTGAAACGAAAGGTACCCCGCACCCACCAAAGAAGTGATGTCACTGACCATCTAACGAAGGAGGGGATAGGGAATTAAACTAAAGAAAAATTAAGACAGAAATAAAAGGGTTAATGAGCAATCATTCTCTAGCTAAATTAACCTAAAGAGAGAAAAATAAGGACAAAAAACGAAAACCTAAACTAACCTAAATCTAGGTGTGGTTAGCCTATGTTTAACACAGGGAGAACAATATCCTGATACCTAACCAACATCAAAGTGCCACCCCAAGTCAGCATCTTTCACTCAAAACAAACGCACAAGATTCACCAACCTTTTGCCAAATTCTAATGAATTGAGCCGCCGCCTCTGCGTCCTAATCTTGACTTTAAGCTGATTATTAAAATACAACAGCAGTTGGGAAAAAAAGAACTTCTCGCCTCCATAGAATCCCTTTTGGCGCGTCGTCCAAATCACGACTCCCATAACACCTAGTAAGCACAAGAACACATAGTGTTCAGCCTTCGTCATCGGTGGTACCACATTGCTACAAACAGAACTGGCCTTAAGGACAAAGAACTTTCCACGCAGCATGCGACCCATGAGGCCTTCAACAAACTTGCATAACGGTGCTACGACTCTGCAACGAAAGAAGGCGTGACCTAGGATCTCGATCTCTCCATCAGAGCGAGCGTAGTTTGGAGATTTCTCCATTCCCGCCGAACAAAGACTTTTGGCGAACCAGAGGGCCCTAGGAATCATCATCCAGATGAATTGAGTTATTGAGACATTTCAAACCGGGCGCCCAAGGCCATATTAAGCGAGCCTTCTGCTTCATATGACCGAGCTCCTCAATCAGCTCATTACGATCAGGCCCACTAATCAAAACTTGATACAATTCCCTGAAAGACAACGCCTGGACGTTGGAGAGGCCATTCGATGTCTATAAGAGTCATTTCAAAGCACGGCGGCATTCACGATAGAAGGAACACTCGGCTCATGGTAAACGGCCGGCCTCTTCGCACGAGTGCACACTTCTCAAGGAAGGGAAGTTCTTACGGACGTCTTCCTTCCAGAAAGCGCCCTCCTCATCCGAATCGCAACACATTCGATCTAGGAACGGGATGCGAAGCATATATTGACGAATCTCAGTGCTAGGCATACCCAGACTGCCTTCGGAATAGTGGAGGCAACAGATCTCCCGAGGTACCATTGGGGCCTTATCCCCCAACAAGAAGGAGAAAAAGAGCCTTACTAATGAAATTAGTGTGGCAGACGGGAGGGGATGTACAGAGAGTCGGTAAAGGAGAATCGGATAGATGTGCTCTTCCGCTCTCCCCTTTAAGGAAAGCTTCCTTTGAGACCACAGACAAAATGCAATCTCTAACTTACGAAGGAAAGGTTGCAACGCAAGAACGTAAAGCATAGGCGAAAGCGGACAACCTTGACGAATGGAGAGAAACAATACGAACGGTTCCGATTGTACCCCGGTCACTTCTACTGGCGCACCGGGAGTCGTATAAAGAGTTCGTATCCAGGTGCGAAAGTACGCCCCGAAACCGGCCGCCGAAAGAAGAGCCTTCAGGAATCGATGGCCAATCCTATCGAAGACCTTGGACTGATCTAAATTGATCTGCGCGGCTTCACTGTCGACTTGCTCGATGATCAAGCGGACCATATGAAGGTTGTCCTGAATAGTCCTGCCCTTCACAGCACAAGCCTGTTCGAAGCCAATCAGACTAGAGAGGACAACCTGCAAACAGTGTTAGACATTTTCATGACGGTCGTCTTCGAGTATAGAATCCAGAGGTTGGCAGTGAATATTTCGGAGACAGTAGGAAAGCGTAGTGCAGGTTCGCAGTGGATATCGCAGCAAAGTAGCAGAGCGTAGTTCTTCCGTCTGTTATGTTCGCCTGACATGTTGGCTCTGGTCATTCCGGTAGGAAAACAAAGATGGCCGCCTTTATACACGACGGA